AACCAAACAATAGAATTTAAATTAATCATTCAATCTATTTATATTCTCATTACATTATATATTCCTATTTGTATCCTCATTCTTATTCCATGTCATCAAACTAAGGCCAGTTTAGCGTTATTGTGTTGTTAAAAATTCTTGTTGTAGTTGTGTTGTCAGTCAGAAGTAGTTGCGACTTGAAACATTTAAGTGTTTGGTAATTTTTTTGTTAAAACTGCTGTAAATACTAGAAATAAAAATTTAAATGTTTGATAAATTATGTATAAAATTATTGTTGAGGTATATAATAACTAAAATAGACACATTTTTAACTCACATATATGTAGTTAGTTTTATTTCTATTTTAAGGTCAACACTTATAATATTTTTCTCACCAAAATGCTAAAAAAATATAATTTTAATTTTATTAGTTAAAATATTTCTTTAAATAATAAATTACTTTCATTAAGAAGAAAAAGTATTCATCCGCCAATTTTTTTAATTATTATTGTTGTGTTTAAGCTTTTTATAATTAATAAAATATTTGAGTCAAATTTAGCATAGTATTGTTATTAAAAAATTTCAATTTTTAAATAAGTATTTAAAAAATGTTAATTTTTTATGAAAAAAATAAAATGGATAGATTGAAAATTAAGTTGTATTATTAAGGTTATTTCAGTAAATTCGGACAATAACAGGAGAAGTTGTTGTGCAAAAACAATTCCTGATTTGTTTATCAAATTTTGCTCTTTGACAAAAGTTCTTAGAAGCTGCTAGACAAAAGTAAGATTTACCAAACACCTTTACTTACTGTAACTTTTATAAATAAATAAATAAATAAAGTTAAAAAATAACCTCCAAAAATAATGTCAAACAGGCTCTAAACGTCACCTATTTGTATTCTCATTCTTATTCCATTTTATCAAACTAAATGTCACCTAATAATATTATTCTTTGACACTAAGGCCACCATATAATCAATAATTTAAGCAACTAATATAACTTTTATTTTCTGAAATTTTTTTAGTTTTGAAAAAAAAAATCTTTATTGACAGAATATAAAAACGAAATTAGATGATAACTATGACTTGGACTTTATAGGCACAGTAAATTATCAAGTGAAAAGTGGAGCATATATAGGTTATGGGGTTAAAATTTCATATATCTTTCTTATTATGTTTTTTTCTCTAAGTTACATTCTTCCAAACATTTTAAACCTTCATGATATATCTTTTTCCCCCTTAAAGGACAAACCTCATATCCTTGAATACAATTTTTGTTAGTTGAGCTATTAAGAAGACGTTTAGTTCATTTATTAGAATCATTTTTTATTTACGTATATTTTTTGTGAGAGAAAATACTGTAGCGAACTACGAATCATGATTCGAATCAGAAAATGAATTTAAGTACCAAACATCCCATCAAGTACTTGAAAATGCGGTTTTTAATTATAGAACTGCTCATAAACAGCTATGAATTAATAAGAAATTTTTGCAATAATTTATAACGAACACGACAGGACATTATCTTTTTTTTTTTTTTAAAAAAAGAAAAAAAAAAGTAATAGTGTGTTGCACGATGAAATAATTAAGCAACAATGAAATAATTAAGCAGCTGATAAGGACACATTAGTTTATTTTGGAGCAATAATTTCGTACCAAACGAAGGCTGAACCAACAGGTGGAACCCACCTCCGACCATTTCCTTAATAACACTTCCTATTTAATTTTTTATATTATAAAAAATTGGGCATCAAGTGAGAATGCGAGATTAGGTTTATGCAGTGGTATGTGACTTATGTGTTTCACCGTCACCGTCCTATCCCAGCTCCAATTTTTTTTTTTTAAATGGATAATATATTTTAAAATATGAAAAATATTAGGAACACTAATTCATACACATAATTATTATTATAAGAAATACGACACCACAAATAACCGATTTCATCAATAAATTCAAGTGAAGATCAAGAGAAAATAATGCGTACCAAACTTCACAAACAGAAATCATTTAAAAAGGTACAAAAAAAATGTGACTCTTTGACAAATCCTCTACAATCAATAGAAACAATTCTGTTATTTGAGGTCGAGAAGCCCATAGCACGAATGTTAGACAAAAACTGCAAAGAAACACATCTCGCGGACCAAAAAACAACTTAAACCAATTGGAGTAAGAATCACCGCTATTATAAATGAAAAAGAAAAAAATACAAAAGCTAGAACATCAAAACACTAGAACACTAATAAAATAAAACGGTAAAAAAGAGGAGTGGTTGATAAACGAAAGATGGACAATTAAAAGTACAGGTTTTAATAAATACTTAGAGATTAATATAATATCCACTAGGATTGCTAATAAGTTATTGTTCTAAAAAAAGAGGATAAAAAATGAAAAGAGAAAAACTTGTCAGTGAGTGACTTTGGTTTGCATCAGCATGGATAATAACGAATATATCAAGCTAGTCATTCATAATTGCGAATTAATTTTTTTGCTGGTCATAATTGAGAATTAATAAACAAGTCGCCTTTAATGTCCTTTCCAAAGAAACTATCTTTAATGGATAAATTATAATTGCGATGTATTAGTAAGATTTAATGAGTGAAGATGTGGTGGTTAGCGCATTTAGCTTACTCTTTAGTTGAGGATTGTTTTTAGATTGAAGAACTTCCTAGTTGTATTTTCGATATTAATGTAAGTGTTAATATAGCTGATACTGATTAATGGAGTTTGATAACACCCTTATATTAAAAATAAAAAAAAAGATTTGATGTCATTTATTCTCTTAATCTACGAGATCATATGAAAGTTTAATAGTGCCATCGGTCACCTTATATCACATAACACATGGTTGCGGTTTTATATACCTGTCTTTCAATATATAGAATTTTAACTCTCAATCATTAAGGTGCGGCTTTTCCGGTTAATGATCAAGAAGTAACACAATTATATCATTAGAAGAAAAGAAGGAAAAAAATAAAAAAACTTATCATTTTCTTGTGGAATGACATTTTTATATTCCATTCCAACACGAAAACTGTTTTCCCCAAGCAAATTGTGTTGTGCCAAATTCATTTTTCTTGGATAAACTAAAGTGCCTTCACTACATATATAACCACAAAAAGCAAAGACAGATTTGGCACGGCGAGCACCACGTGATGTCGAAAGGTTTGTCTGAAAACAGAGACAACCTATGTTTAGTGTTTTTTTTTTCTTTAGTGTGTATAGAGAACAACCTCTTTTTTTTTTTTTTTTTTTTTCAATTGTCAAGTGTGAGTTGGACCACTTATAAAGTCACTCGTGCGATTAGTGGCCGGTGAGAGACACCAACAAAGCTTTGAGAAGTTGAGAATCGAACGAAATCAAATCATTATCAATTAAGCAACCAAGCCAATCGTGGACCAGCCACAAATTCTTTTTTCCATTGAAATAAAGAAAGGATAAATTTTTGGTATGACATTAACAAACAAATGGTAATACTTTACATGTCTGAAAATCGTCAAATTCAAAACTCTTCCATCAAGTTTTATTCAATTATATTTAGTTTGATTTTAATATGCTTGATTTACCCTATCTAATGTCGGTTTTTTTATCTTCTAAACTATATTCGTTAGAAAATACGCTAAAATAACAAAAAATAAAAACAAAATTAGTAGCATCCAACGCAAAATATTTGACCATATATAATATATTCATTTTTATGAATTTAGATAGTTTGTCTAATTTTTTGTGTTCAAATACTGACTAATTAATGATATTTTGACGCGAAAAAAAAAAAAAGGACTCAAATGCTAGAGCATGAAAAAGTCATTTTAAACAATGTATCATCACATGATTGATTAAATACCATTTGTACATAGTATGGATCTAAGTCCCTTTAGTATATCATCATCGTTATACATAAAAAGGCAAAAAAGCAACAACCAGAACATTGGCAACAAAACTTTAAGGGAAACAAGCGAATGAGCTGTCACAACGTGTCATTATCTGGGTGGTGGAACCGTCTGCGAATTGACCACCACAAATTCTGATGCACACCCACAATTAATTCAAGGCACCCACATCTAGAGAATCACAGCTTTCCCATGACTCAGCAATGACCCAGCGCGTCTTTGCTTGTTCCAATCTCAATCTCTGGACTCTTTCCTACGTGTACCTGATTATTCCCTCACTCCATAACCAACCCTTACCTTCCACGTCATTATTTTTAACTAGGTTAATATTACAAATAGCCCTTGAGGTATAACATTAATATCACTTTAATTCTTGACTTTTAAAAATCGTATAATTAATCTATGAGATTTTATTACGTTTTAATTTTAATTTTTCTATTAACACAGAATAAGTAAAAATTATGAACTAACATTGAAAACAAATAAAGTTTAAAGATTAAAACAATGTAAAAAAAAAAAAGTTAATTTCTACATGTAGACTCAAAATTTTAATTGTTTTTAATTTTAAACTTTATTTTACACATTTTTTATCAAATTTTAACGTATAATTGATGAAAAAACTGAAATTGAAATAAAATAAAATCTTAAAAACTATTTGTGTGACGATTGAAAAGTCAGAGATTAAAATAAGATTGAGTGTAAATCTCAAGAACCATTTGTAGAATTAACCCTTTTAACTATTATATTAACTTTCCCTAATAAAAACGTTCTCTTTAAATTCATATTTTCTGTTTCACTAATAATATAACGTCACATAATTTATTAATAGTTTCATATTTTCATGAGTCTTTTGTTTTATAGATTCGAACTAAGATTGACACATATTATCATAAAATCTTAAATTTTTGTTCAAACTTCTTGTTCCAATTTATGAACTAAATAGGCAGGAAAAAAACATATAAATTTTTTTAATTTTCTGTTAAGCAGGTATTTGATTGGCTGCTTTCTTTTTAATTTATTTATTTTTTATTTTCCACCCGATAATTTTATTGCCACTTCAAATCATTGTCCTTCCCCTTAATTTCGCCTCTATAAATACCCAAACCCCTTTGCCAAAAACCTCCTCCTTCCTTTTCCTCTGTTCTCATTCTTTCTGCTTTCATCATCTTCTTCTGAGACATTTTTTTTCTCTCTTTCACAACTTTCTTTCACAAATTTGCTTCTGAAATTGTTGCTGACTTCAGATATGGAGGTTCCCGTGATCAACAGGATAAGCAATTTCGATGGCGGAGTTTCGACGTCGTTTATTTCTCAGATTCCCTCGCTCTCCTTGAGAGAAAAGCTTTTACAACCTCACAGCTTCTGGAAATGGAGCGCTTTTATCATCGCCATGATCGCCTCCTTCGGAACCATTATCAGCAGAATTAGGATTTTGGTCATTCGATTACAATGTTATTTTTCTAAATCTCCGGCCTCGGAGCCTCTTCTCACGAATACCGATGACGATTTGGATTACAGCGACGACGAAGACGAAGACGAAGCCGTTTCGTGGTCGTCCTCTTCCTCCGTCTCCGATTTCGAAGAGAACGACGATAACGAGGTACGGGCCGATGAAGATTTCAGCGTCAAGGGTTCTGACCACAATTTGGGGCTTCGCCGGCGCCGGAGCTCCGGCGACCACAGCCGGTTCTCGTGGTCGGACTTTAGCGTCGTGAAGCTCTGGGAAAACTTCGGGTTAGGGTTCGAACTCGAAGACGACGACGAAGATCCGGTGGTCTCCCTCTACGACGACAAGAAGTGGAGGGTTTCCTCCTCCGCCACGTCATCACCGGCAACGATGCTGTCAGCGGGGACGAGCGAGACCGGGCGCGTGGCGGTTGGGGTCTGGGACGCGCGCGTGGGGTGTCGGATCCCGGCGATACTCGCCGAGTGGGGTCCACAGCTGGGGAGGATCGTTGGAGTCGCGTCCGACGGCGCCGGGAATGTCTACGTCAGGGATGACGTCAGCGGTAGTATGACTGTCGGAGATCTGAGAAACGTCAGCTCGGCGTTGAAGAGTTTGACGGCGTACGGTATCGACGAATCGGGATCTGACTCGGCCGTGAGTCGGTGCTGTGACGCCGTTAAGTCCTATCTGTTGTAGATTTGGCTGAAACTGAACTTGAAAAACAAAAACTTGTACCGATAATTTGTAAATATTCATTTTTATTATCAATAATTTATGGTTTTTTTTATTACTTATTAGTCGTGTTTGTGATTAAACAACGTGGTTTCTGCTTGTTCATGTTCTTGACAGTTTCCTTATAGTTAAGGTCGCAACAAAATAAACAAATGTCAATGCTTTAACTGGTTTAAGCAAACGGTAAAATTAAAAACAAATGGCATGAGCTTCACGTGTTGATATCCATGCCAAACTTCAAAGTAATTAAAAAAAAATTCAAAGTCCTTAGGTTGAAGTTGAATGGAAATATTATGTTTTAACTGGCACCTTTGACCTTAATTTCTGTAAATGTAGGGACCAGACCTAGTTGTGATGTGGTGGACAAATTAAGGTTTTGGTTTTGTGGTTGATGCAAAGTGTCAACTTCTTGGAAATTCCATAACAGTAGCTAGGCAGATGCGTAACGGAAGAGAGAAGTGTGAATGGTCTTAATTCCTATCTTATCATTTATCATTTATGTGTTTTAAGAGTAATGCTATTAAGCATTAGTGGTACTCAGCACCACTCATTCATAGAATATGAGTTCTGCAGCGTGAATTCACAATAAAATTAACTTTTTATTAATAATGGTGCTTAATACTAATAAAATAGTCAAACATTTTTCATGTTTTTATGAACCAATAATCAAGCGTTCGGAAGAATTGGAACTTTTTCGTTGACAAACAATTAAAAGGCGGATGTGTGTGGAGCAATACATCACCATCCACTGCCGGTTGTGTAAAGTGTGTTTTTTTTTTTTTTTTTGGGAAACTCAAGTTATTGTTTTAAGCCTCGTTTAATTTCTTTTGTCATGTAACAATATATTAAAAAAAAAAAAAAACACCCTTATTATTATTTTTTTTTCATTTTCCATCATAATAATAGAGTATATATAATGACGGTGTTTGTGTTCAACCTTTTAAAAGTGACGATGGTGTGGTTTGAATATATGTCCTTTTCCTTTTAAAACCCCCCATCTTAAAGTTCCTAACAAGTTAATGGTTGTGCGGTGAGTTTGTAATAGTATGAGTGAAACTGAATTTATTGTTCTGAGTAGAATAAGTCATGTACCTTTTTTTATTTTTATAGATAGGTCCCATTCCTGCTCTAAACAAAAGGAAAGGAGACAAATAACACCAATATTTTTTATCAAGAAAAAAAAATTATAATGTATGTGGAGGCGGACATTTCCACGTATGTAAGATAAAATATATTGTCTAATTATACGAAGGGAGTATCTATGAGATAGAGATTGGTAGGAAAGAATCTCCGGAATCAAGTTATGATTGGCATTTTCTTAAGCAATGCACTACAAATGGATGTAATTACATATTACTCTATTATTAATTATTAGTTTCTTTTTTTTTTCTCAAGATCACTCCATTATTATTTAGAAAGTTGAGTGATACCTTTAAGAAGTAGGTAAGGTAAATATAAAGAGACGTGCAATATATTAGTGTTTCTTTTTATATTTTTTTCTATTGAGTATTTCAGTTGTTTCTTTGAACTTTTGAATAATTCTTTGTTGTGCCTAATGAGAAAATATTTGTGTATAGGAATATGACTGACTTATTTGTGTATCCCCCCTCTTGAAAGTGTCATCTATGATATGTACCAATTAATTACAACATCAGACGAGGCCTAAGTAGATCCAAATAAATAAAAAAAATAAATAAATAAATAAATAAATCTACCAGTAGAAAATGTTGCTTTTAAGTAAGCATAGAGAGATAACTTATTAAGCGGGTAAAGAACCAATTACATATATAAAGCCTGTTTGGAAGAGCTTCCTAAAAGCTCCTTTTGATTTTTTGACTCAAAAACTACTTCTAAAAGTATTTGCATGATCTGTTAGAAATGTTTCGGCCTTTCAGAAGAGCTTCCAATTAAAACCACAAAATGTAGCTTCTGAAAAAAATCACTTTTGAATAGACTTTAAAACTTATACCAGAGTTTTATTAAGACATTATAAACTTCATTCCAACACTTGTATTACTTATTAGAAAATTTTAAAAATTATGTAGATGAATTAAGCTCTTTTATTCTAAATATTTATTAAAAAGTCACGGTTTTTATTTTTTTTTCAACTGAAATAAATAATTAAAAAAGCTCTGAATTTATTAAAAAGAGACAGCTCAATGAGCAACTTATAAGCTAACTTGTACATCTATAATTCAATAGCCCGCGTCATTGTAATGTTCTTTTTACATTAGCAAAAACAAAAGTTTGATTACAACTTAAATGAGCAATTCTCAACCAAAGAAAAGAAACAAAGACAAATAAACATTTAAATGGTAATTATTTTAACATTGTATGCTTAGAACATCTTCAATGCAGTATAAAATTAATATATCAATGTCAAATTTTAACATTTGAGACTTTAAATAATAAAATTACTCTTTAATACAATGTTACTTGCACGCTAAATTTTTTCTTTAATTAATTGGTACACAACATTATCTTTTAAATTATTTTAAAATTAAAATTTTATTATTGCAAGTTTCACGAATATATGATTATGACAAAAAAATATATATATATTGAAATTTGAAATGATATTATATATTATAACACAAAATATAATTTACGTGAAAAAAAAGTATTTTTTTCAATCGTAAAAAGAAAATTTATATCGAAAATTTTTTACTAGTCGTAATTGAAATATTTACAAAATAAAATGCTTTTTAAATTTAAATAATTTTAAAATGTACTATTTGTTTTAATTATTTACTGTAAATATGCTATTGTCTTTGTTCTCCTAAAAAAATAAATGTAGAAAGAGGAAAATAGGTCAAGACTTGAGATGAATTAAAATTAATATGCTAATAGTTTACATAAGTTAAAAAATAGGCCAAATTACTGTTTTTGTCCATAACTTGTCTGGTTATGAACTATAACTTGACAAGTTATTATCCATAATTCACGGTTTTTATCCATAACTTGTCTGGCTATAAACCATAACTTGACAAGTTTGTCCATAACTTATCTGATTATGAACCATAACTTGATAATGTATGACCTATTAATTTTTATAACTAAAAGTTGACTTATATACTTTCTTAAATTTATTATATTGGCCTATTTTGTACTAAAATATAAATTGGTTTCGATCCGGGTGGTGGAAGAGAAGTGGATCGAGCCTAGCTAAGCCCATTTTGTTGACTTGTGTCGGCCCATTTAATCTATAATGTTCACCAAGCCCATTTTCATTTAAAAATTTGAATTAGGAGGCTTAATATAACTTAATTCAAAGGATAAATATAAGTGTATGAGTCATGATTTTTACTTTTTATTTTTTATTCATCACTTTTTTAGTTAAAAAATTATACTGATAAATGAGTATTTATTAAGATTAAGGGTAAAAGTCCAGATTCATACACTTCTAAGTGTAAATCTCCATTTTTTGAAGATTTTATTTTCTAAGCTAACATTAATAAAAAACCTGATGAACTAACTATTTGACGAGATATTTGGTTAATCTAATTGCACACTCACCTCCGTACAAACGTTTAAAACTTCAGGTTAAAGAGAGAGAGAGAATTAAACTGGAAAGTAACATAAATGAGGGAAAAAAATGATGACGTCGAAAAAGAAAAGGTGGGATTAACAGGAAATATTGATTATATTTGAAGCATACTTTAATGAGTTCTGCAGCATGGGATAATATTTCATATTTGAAGAACACTTCAAAGGTCCTTTCTAACGGGTTATTTGTTCATGTGATTCAAATCAGGATTTCTAACGAACATATTCCCTTTGTACTTTTCGTGAGTCGACAATATTATCCATACTTCTGTTTTATGACAACTTTCAATAATGTAGTCCGTGAATAATATTTTAATTCTTAATAGCCTCGATTTGGTAATCAATTTTTATTTTTTAATTTGTTACATTGTCAATTAGAACTATGTTTATGATTTTCATTATTAATATTAAATGTTCTATCTTTTGTGATTTATTTAATTAGAAAGCACTCTATAAGTCAAATAATGGGGTAACCTTATTTCTTTCCTTTTTTTAGCTTGGATATTTTGTGTTTTAGTCTCATTCATTTGTGTTTGGTGGTATTTTTAGTCCGCAAGATCTGCTCTCTTTGCCTTTTTTTTTGTGCAGTCATGGTGTTATGGGTTTCTCAGATCTATTAAATTAGAGCTATGTGTGTGCCCAACTTTTTTTGTATTTTTTTGTTTATAAAGCGTGATGCACTTTATTTTATTAGACCTTCATTCGAGTTTACTGATAAAAACTTCTTGTCTGTCAGTGTAGTGTTTTTGTAATAGGGACTGCGCGTGCATTAATTAACGTTTGTATTGCTTTTAATCTGTGGTATTTCCCTTAGAAAAACATTATACCACATATGTAGTAGGACTCAAAATAATTGGTTTCAATGTTATTCAATCCAATCGTAAGTAAGACTGTTAATACCCGTTTAATTAGTACTATATTAACACATTCTTTTGGTTATTCGAATAAATTTTTTTATTTTTTATTTTAAAGAGTCAAGTTTGACAATGGAAATCGCTTTGCTTCAATTTTGCAAACTAAATATATTTGCCTGGATAGGAACTCTTGGGCATAAATCACATGGACTGACCTTTGCAAGTGGCTTGTTACTATTGATCAGAGCCCAAAGGCTGTCTAAATTAAATATATCAAGGATAAGAAAGCCACAAGTTAATAGTGGCTATAGCTCATTGAAGTGGTCCCAAAAGATTTAAAAATGGTATATTGATATGTATAATCCAGGGATATCTACTGTATTATATATGTTTTTCATTGATGTGTCGTACATGCATCTCCATTTCCTAGTTCAACGCTAGCTAGCTTTGGTTCATAAGTGACTGCTAATTGTGATCATTAAAAAAGGCGAAGCAATTAGGGCTTGTTCTTTTAGAGTTTTTGAGTTAGGGTCACTTAAGTTTAGAGATTAATTTAAATTAAGGTGTATTTAAGTATGGTTTGAGTTGAAACTTTAATTTGAGTTTGTGTTTGGATGTGCACATTTTGAGTTATGGTTTGAATTGAAAATCTATTTGAATTTGTGTTTGGGTGGGACAAAACTTGAATTTGTATTTGGATAGTATTTTCATAAAAACTCAATGGTGATGAAAAATTTTGATAGGGTATATGGGTGAGATTTTATTCATCTCTTCATTGTGAACGCATAGAAAAAAAAATCATCTCAATTGGAATTAAAACAAATAAATTATAGCGTTTTTAAAAATAGAAAAACTACTGTTCATTAATTTGAGTTTAGGAACTTGAGTTGAATGAGAAATTAAACTCAGATTTTAGCCCAAAACTCAAGTTAAAACTCAAATTCAAACTTTAATGCATGCTTTCATTTTTTAGTAAATAAAATGAGAGTCATAGACCCAACACTGTATATGTAAAAAGGAAAAAAAAGGACTAGTTTGGTAGTGCTGTAGATTTTAGAAAAATTACTTTTAGCTGTGTTGAAGGAAGAAGCAGCTGTTACAAAAAGCAGCCGAGTGTTTGGTAAACTATAATTATAGTAGCTATGTTGGTTCCAAAATCAGTGTAATAGCGTTTGGTAAATTATGAGATCGAATTACTGTGAATAGTTAAAAATTACGACTATATTATATTATACTATAATATAATATATATAATTACAATATAATATATATTTATTATTATATTTAATATAATAAAAAACTATTATTATATAATATATTCTATAATTATGATATAGAAAATAATAATATTATTAAAATAATAACTAAAATAATTAAAAATAACAATTATATTATATTAAAGTATAATATAATATATTTAAT